TTTTTTAAAAAAAAAAAAAAAAAAAAATCTCTTATCGCGTATCAACGGGGTACACAACATATATCATAATAGGTACGACGGCGTTGGTGTCGTTTTCAAATTTTCGAACTTTTCCGTATAAATTATTTACAGTGTACACGTAACAAACGTTTGAAACCGGTTCAATACACGATACGATAGTAAAAATCAATGAGTAATAATAATAATAATAATAATCAATAATAATAATCATATCAATATTCAATAATAATCAATAATAATAATCAATAATAATGATAATAATAATAATAATAATAATAATAAGAATAATAATAATAATAAATGATAATAATAATATTTAGTTGTAATAAAAAAAAAAAAAATAGTTGTTGAAAAACGAAAAAAATAATAATAATAATAATTCGTACAAATCAAAATGTAATACGTGTATGACGGGGGCGGGGGGCGGGGACGTACAATAATAATAAAATAAATGAAACGCGCGATAATTATAATGTTCATTAATTATTTGATTACCATAGCGCTGCGTCCGTGTCGGATTCGACGTTGTCGGCGAATTCGCACGAGCGGCGGCAAAACCGCGGCACGGGGCCCGAGGACGGGACGAGTACGCGCGTTTCCGAGCCGCCGGCAGTTCTATGGTAATTTATTTTTTTTTTTTGTTTTGATTCCCGGTGAATATTTTTCGGATCAAACGAGCGCGTATAAAACATAATATACGGCCGTTATAAATTCCGTATAATGTCGGAAATTTGGGGGGGGGGAGAGAGAGAGGTACGTTTTCAACAACTATACAATTAAAATTAAAATTTAAAAAAAATACGACAAAAAATTCAAATAAATGTAAACACGTACATAATAAAAAATAATAATAATGTTAATAAAAATAATAATATAATCGACACACGGTGCGCGTGTGCGACGGTCACGAAACATTATTTCGTATCAAAAACGTATTTATTATTTTTTTTTTTTTTTAAAACTACCGTTTTCGAACGCACAAATGCGTCGTAATATCCGTCGGAACCGAAACGGCAGANATAATAATATAATCGACACACGGTGCGCGTGTGCGACGGTCACGAAACATTATTTCGTATCAAAAACGTATTTATTATTTTTTTTTTTTTTTGTACAACTAAAAACGCAACAGGAAAAAAAAAATAAAAATAAAAATAATCACTAAACGATTTGTCGCGTACACGCGCGCACGCATACACGCACATATGTATGTATGTAAAATTTTGTTGATTCGAGAGTTATGAATTTGGAATTCTTTTTTTTTTTTTCTTTTAAAACTACCGTTTTCGAACGCACAAATGCGTCGTAATATCCGTCGGAACCGAAACGGCAGACCGGATTGTTTACGCGCGGCGATGATTCTCGTGTATAGATGCGCGCGTGCAATAAAATTTTATCCGTCACTTAAAAAATAAATACCCTATTTTTATAATTTTTTTCTTTTCCGTAAATTTCATAATATCATATTAAATATTTTAATAATATGAATAATATATACTTAATCACGACACAACAATAATAATTAAATATAATGTTATAATGTATTTACAAAATAGTTTTATTATTTATTTTCAATTTATTTATATACATATACGTATATATATACATATATACGTATACATACATATATATATATACATATATAGGTATTGTTATTATATTATGGGTACATAAATGTATAACGACTGTATATAATAATGTGCGAGTAGGTTCGTGTGTATGTATGCGTATGAGTATTTTATACACGGTCCGAACGTAATGTAATGCAGACGGTGTTGACGCGATGACGGCGCGCAAATTATCAATTTAATATGTACAAAATTGTTATTTATTTATTTATTCATGATATTTATTCGGTTTCGCGTGTTCGTGCCGTTGATAATATTTATTTTACGTTTCTCTGTGTACACATACTCGTATTCATAACGGGGTATCGTTTTCTAATAAAATATATTATTGTGTTTATTTATTTATTTATTTTTTTTTTTCTTTACTAGGAGTGGCGGGGACGTGGTTAGAGGGTGTGGGGAGGGGGTATGGTCGAGAGGAGATGGCACAAAAACAACTCGTGTCGTCGTAAATGGCAAATGTCAATTTTTTTTATATTTTTTTTTTTATTTTTTTTTTTTTTTTATGAAATTTATCGTCATAAAAATTACAAGGGTATTATTATTTATATTAATATACATAAGAATATTAGAAAATATAGGTACCTATATTATGTCGTATCACGTAAAAAAAAAAAACCTACGGTACTTAAAACTGCGGGGGGCGATCGATTAGAGGTAAAAAAAAAACCACATTAAATATTATTGTTTTACACGGGCATTAGGTAAATGGTGTTGAAAAAAACCGCACGCGCACGCACTCGCTGTAATAATGCTGATGTTCTACGGGGTTTGTGTGTGTGTTTTTTTTTTTTTAACTAATGTATTGTCGTATCGGGATTTTCGCCGCTGCGGACACGGAGGCGTGGGAGATAGAAAACGAATTCTGAACGTACGAGCGATTGCACGGTAGGTACGCATACTGTACGGCGGACGCTGTGATGTATAACATCGTAACGGACGGTGAGATCGGGAGGGGAAAAACGTTTACGGGTAAAAAAAAGAATAAAAAAAAAAAAAAAGTGACCCGGGCCTTATACACACACATACGTATATATCACGTTTGTCGTGGGAACGTCGGACTCGATAATCTGTCGGTTTTTCGTCCGTCTCTCGTCGGTATAACATAAAACCGTTCGTACATATAAATGGCGTTTGGCGAGAAAATACAACGGTACCGTGTGACCGGCGGTATTATTTGGAGAGAAAGAAAAAAAAAAAAAAAAAAAGACAAGAAAATCCGAGGAGTCCGTGAATTGCGATATCGGCGGTGTTTTTTTTTTCCCGCCGATCATCTCCGCGACCGTTTACAATCGTTTCTCCGAGACCGTGCGAACGGTTCTCGCGCCGCGAAAAATATCGAGCAAAACAATAATAATAATCTCATCAATCGTGCGATGCGCATTCGGGCCTTTGCGGGCGCGTATGCGAATAAATAGAAAATAAATAATAAAACGGCGTTGATTCGGCGACGGGCGCGAACGTGTGTATCGTGAAATAAGTCTGTCGTCTTGAAAAAAAAAAAGAAAAAACTAGGGTTTACAAACGGACAAAATCGAAAATATAAATCAAAAGAAAATAATAATAATAATAATAAAAAAAAAAAGACACAAAACTCCGCGAATTCCAAATAGGAAATAAAAATAATAAATGAAAAACGTAACGATCCGCGGGTGTCTATAAAATAATAATACAATAATAATGTATGTGTCTGCATAATAAATAGTACATAATCAAAATAATATTAAAAAAAAAAAACCCGTACGAATAACGGTATTGGAGAAAAACGAAAAAAAAAAATAAAAATAAATAATCTCCGAGCAATCAGTACGAGTCAATAATAATGCAAATAATAAAAATCGCGCAGCGGCTTTATAGGATCGGGCGATGCACGCGCGCCGCACGTGAACAATTAATAATAATGGCCGGTTAGAAAAACGAAAAAAAAAATTTTTTTAATACGCTCGTCGAGACGAATCGAACCGCGGACGCGTATTTATTTGCGTACGTATAAATTATGTGCACGGCGCTAAAACGGCAATTAATTAAAAACATTAATACTTGATTACGACAAAAAAAAAAAAAAAACATGAAAAAAATAATAATTACGAAAAAATTAATTTCCCGGAAGGAAAACATATAAAAAAACAAAGGTAAAAACCCGTCTCTGACGGCACTGTTTTGGTGCGCGCACACCCCGAAATGCGGCGGTACGGTATTGTCTTCCCGGAGTCTGACCGGTCCGAAGATGGGCGGTGTGTTTTTTTTCCACGATCGTGATATTTATTGAAAAAAAAAAAGTAATAAAAAAATAACCGTGTGTCCGGTCCGGGTCGGGTCTGTTCGTCCGGTGATTTATAATGAAAACGCGCAAAGGTACGTGTGTCGGGACTGTACGGCCGCGCGGGCCGGGGAGCATCGTTATTGCTGCAGTCGTTGTTATCCGTGTTTGGCCCCGGGAGGTGGGGGGTTTCTGGAGGATTGTTTTTTTTTCTCTCTCTCTTTCTTCACTCTTCTCGCGTGTCCACCGGTGCCGGACGCGCCGCGGGGAGCCCGCAAAGAAGATCGTGCGCACACGACGATGTTATATTGAAGAAGGAAAAAAAAATAGACCTTTCGGCGCATGTGTATGCGCGGACCCGACTAATGCGTTTTTACCGGGGGAGGTGAACAAAAAAATACAAAAAAAAAACGATGCGTCTCAGTGCCGGAGGGTATTCGCGTCGTTGTTGTTGTCACGAGGCGGTTTTCTTTCTTTCCTATCGGATCGGAAGACGGGGGGACGGGGTGCGGACCGGCAAGTCGCCGGACGACAAAAACGACGCGGCGACGACGAATTTTTTTTTTTTTTTCAAATTCTATTTCCCAACAGATGAAATCTGTCAGGAGTCGACGCGCGTGCCGCAATGTTGCCGGGCGGCCGAATGCGCGGCCGGCACCGTAATCCCTCGCCCCGCCCGCCGGAAAAGGAATGCCGGACGTTAAAACGATCGTAGTCATCGACCCGCGATTTTTCGTTATTGCATTCGCAGGAAAATGTAAAATGAAAAAAACGATATTTTTAATGAACGCGGGGAGAACAAAAAAAAAAAACATATAAACACAAACGTGTACTTAAACGCTAAAATAAAAGTAAAATATTAAAAAAAAAAAAAGACCATACAGGCCAAAATACGTAAACTATGTACAGGGAAAAAAAAAAAAAGACGGGTAATGATAATCGCCCCTCGAAAGAAACGATCGCGTCACCCGTCGTTATCAACGATGAAGGCGTGCGAATAATCACGCGCACGCGTCTCCGTCACGCCAACTCGTATCGTCATAAATGGGTCGCAAGAGGTAAAACACTAAATGCGAATAAAAAAAAAAATAACATAAAACTAAAGGGTAAAAAAAAAAAAATGTACGCGGTTCCTCCCCGGCGGCGCGAGCCGTAAACCGGTTTTTTTTTTCCCCCTCTGTTTGCGAGCCGGCGAAAGATTCGGATTTCTTCCTCCCCCTCCAACCCCGCGCACGGTTTCTACCGAATTACGCGGGCGCGGTCTCCTCCCCGGTATCGTTTTTCGGCTCGGCACCGGTTTTCTCGTGCGCCCGACGGGCGTGTGTCGTTGCTGCGGCCGGGACGGGCGGGCGGGTAAACACACGAATTGTTCGCACCGTCCCGTCCGCGTCCGGTATGTTGGTGCGGAAGAGTGAGTGGGTGGCGGGAGGGGGCGGGGTGGGTGTAGGGGTGTAGAAAGAAAACAACGTCTATCGCTTTTGTCGCCAATAATTGCGTTCGCGAAACGTTATCACGTGTTATGACATTTGCGTGGACGGGAAAAAACGGCGGACTTTGGTACGAAGCGAGAGTTTTCTTTTCATCTTGTACGATATTGCGAACGCGAGCGGGCCGCGGTTTGCCGTTTTTCCCGTCGAATTGCGCGTGTGTGATGCGGTGCGTTTTTTTGGTTTTTTTTGTTTTTGAGGGCGTTAACATATTAGATATTTGTTTTGTTTGTTTTTATGGCACTGACGTCCCCGTCCGAACGCGGGTTTCGGGGGGTGGGGGGACGCTTTCCTTCGGTCAACACGATCGTATTTTTATTTATTTTTTTTTTCTAATGTGTATACGTTCTCGCGGGTCTCTAATATGTACGCGATGTTTAATCCTATTTTTTTTTTTATTTTTTTATCGTTATTATATTTATTTTTTCCATAAATAGTCGAACATAACGTGTGCGTAATAATAAACCTGCTGTTACACGGGCGTGTATATTTTATAATATATGTGTACGTATAATTTTACGACGGCGGATTCTGATATCAACGAACATTATTAATGTGTACATTAAATGCGGGAGGGGGGGAAGGGGGGCATGAGGTTTTTCGGATTGGATTTTTTCCCACCTACTATAAATTATTATTGTGTTTATTATGTTTTCAATGAAAATTACAATGTTACGAAGTATATATATATATATGTGTGTGTTTTTTTTTGCGGTTTTTTTATTTTTTTTTTTTTATATATTTATTATTGTTTTCGGTAGGTAAGTAAAAAAAAAAAAAAACAATGCACTTTTATGTACAAAGCAAACGTATAGATACATAAAAGAGCCGTCTCGCGATGTGCCGGGCATACTGCATATACGAGCTTACGAAACGTTGCCACGCCGGCGGTGTTTCTGGCGTTGTTGTGACGGATCGCAAATGTGATTTTTTTTTTTTTTCTGATACACGAATGGGGAGCGCGAAAAAAAAAACCGTTGGAAATCCCAATTTTCCCGCCCCTTACAGGCCTCCCTTCCCCCCCTCCCCATCCCGTGTCCGTTGTAGCTCGTAAGCGCTGCAAATGATACCGTCGTAATGTTCAAAACAATTATACGCGTGTAAACGCATATGCAGTCGGCACATGATATTTTTATGTACTAATAGTTTGTTTTGCGTGGCGCGCCCGCTCATTAGCCCGCGATGTTTATGTTTTTTTATCTTTGTTTATTTATTTATTTTTTATTTATCGGGATGCGCGGGCGCGCACACAAACGCACACAGTTATGTATTTTGATAACAGAGATAAGTCGCGCGGACGTATTCGGGTTAGAAAACAAAAAAAAAAAAGAAACAAAAAACGTATAGTAGCGAAAAAAAAAAAATAGGATAAAACATCACTAAGGCTTTATAAATATTTATAAAACAACGGAAAAAAAAAAAAAAAAAAAAAAATATATATATATTTATATAAATATTACGGGAAACGGTCGGATGGCGACCGTTTTGCCGCGTTTTGGGCGTTTTTTGTTTGTTTTTTTTTTTTTTTCTGTTTTACAATATGCTTACATGAGCCGCGCCGACCTTTACATGTGATGACCCAAATGGGCCATCTGTAAGTCGGGCGACATGGAATGCGGGTGACTCTGTTGCACGAGATTCTGCTGTTGGTTGTGCGACAGGTAAGGATGGTTGTGCGCCTGTTGGTGTCCCTGAGCGCCGGCCGAAAGCCTGGAGTCGAGCGGCAAGTACATGCGTAACAGATCGCCACCGCCGAGTTGCTGCTGCTGTTGCTGGTGCAGCTGCTGCTGTTGTTGCTGCTGCTGCTGCTGCTGTTGCTGTTGCTGCTGTTGCTGCTGCTGCTGCTGCTGCTGCTGCTGTTGGCACAGCCTGGGACTGGGCGAGTGGCCGCCCGCCGATTGGACGGGTGGCGAGATCCTCTCGGACTTGACGCTGTCCGGGCTGTGCGACGTGGACGGCGGTCCCTGTTGATACTGGTTCATATCAGGGTACAGGTTGTAGCTGCCGTTCAAGTAGTGCATGGAGGCGGCCGCGGCGACGGCCGCGTTGTTGTTCATTTGCGGCATGTCGTAGCGGTACCCGGCGGCCTGAGACGCGGCGGCCATGTGGGACGCGTACGACGAGGGCTGTTGCGCGTACGGATTCGGATCGTGGTGCATGCCGAACCCGCCGTTGGGCATGTATCCGTTCATCTGATGGTACAGCTCGGCACGGCTGTTGTTGACCATCTGCTGCTGTACCGCGGAAGACGCCTGCGAAACCGAGTTCCGACCGCCGACACTGTTGTCGCACGGCTGTCCGCCACCGGCGCCACCCAACGACAGCGGGCCTCCGCCGCCGGGCAACGGGTACTTTTCCTTCTTCATCAGCGTCTTGGTCTTGCGCCTGGGTCTGTACTTGTAGTCCGGGTGTTCCTTCATGTGCACGGCCCTCAACCGCTTGGCCTCGTCGATGAACGGCCGTTTTTCCGTCTCGGTCAGCATTTTCCACTCGCTACCCAAACGCTTACTGATTTCCGAATTGTGCATTTTAGGGTTCTCCTGTGCCATCTTCCTGCGCTGGCCGCGCGACCACACCATGAACGCGTTCATCGGGCGCTTGACGCGGTCCACGTTGTTTTGATTTTTGTTGGCCGAAGACGAATTGTTGTTGTTGGGCGACGGGAGCTGGAGCTGTCCGGCACCTCCGCCTAGCCCGCCGACTACCTGGTGATGGTGGTGCGCCGCGGCTTGCATGTGGTGATGTTGTTGCTGTTGATGTTGTAAAAGCGCGGCCTGCTGTTGCTGTTGCTGTTGTTGCTGTTGCTGCTGTTGTTGCTGTTGGGAGGGCGGTGGCGAGGACAGCGGCTGTTGTAGCCCGCCGCCTTGCGGTCCGCCGAGCACGACGCCCGCGGGACCGATGCCGGCCAACATGCCCATTTGGTTCAGGTTGCCGTACGCGTGACTCATGTGCGCGGACGCGTGGTGGCCACCGCCGGCCAACAGGCCTGAACAGTTTTTAATTTCGGCGTCCATTAGCATTTTATAACTATGGCCGGTGTTCGGTTGGAATTCGGCGACACGACGATAATGAGCCAGTTGCAAATATCGTTCGAACGCACGCGGAACGGTGTCCGCCGGCTGGGCCGGTTGTGCGATGGCGATCGCGTGTGTACCTATCGACGGAGACGAGGCCGGGTCAAGGCGGTGTCATTCGTGCGGAAAGGCGACAAAATTAAATAATAATAAAAAAAAAAAATGATCACGGCACTCGCGAATTTATAACGAAAAAAAAAAAAATAAAATAATAATAATTAAAATAAAATATTCGTTTCGGTTCAACCGGCGTGTATGTTTATCGCGGGAAACGTGAAACGATATTACTGCGGAACGCAGCGGTAAAAGTGCGCGCGTTGGCGACGGACGGAATGTACGTGTAAAATAAATATCAGCACACTAGTCGGCGACGGTACGGATGCGGTGACGACGAACACTCGCGCGCGAGCTCCGGAACGGTAATGGCGCAAAATGGAACGTACGTGCGAATCGAACCAGTGCCGTTGTGCTACTGATCGGTGAACGGAGAACGCGACTAGTGCGCGGCGAGTTACGGCGGCGACGGCGGCGGCGGTGGTAGCGCTGTCGGTTGTCGGCGCGCGGCGGCGGACGTGGCGGAGTGCGGTCCCGGTGCCCCCACCGCCGCGCGCGCAGGTACGTATCGATTGTCGCGCCGCCTCTCGGACCAATCGGATGCCGCGACGTCACGGCCTCTGGGCGGCCTCCGCCGGGTGAACCATATTTTTACGCCGCCGCCGCCGCCGCCGCCGACGCCGCCGCCGCGCACGCCTAACCTTCTTCGTCTTCGCGCGCGCCGTCCGTTCGAAAAACCGGGGGCCCGACCCCGGCCGACGACGACGACGCCGAAAGCCGCCCGTATTACCGAATATTCGGGATACGGTGGAGGGGGGGCGAGAAAAAAAAAAAAAAAAAACGAGCGGCGAAAAAAAATCGTAATTTCCGATTACCACCTACCTACCTTTGTGTACGACGCGCGGCGTTACGGCCGATAATTCGGGCCGTATTTGTCATCGTAAACCGAACCTTTGCGCGGCGGTAGATGGCAATAGCGCATTTTGCACGCGGCGCGCGCGACAATATCCGCGCGTACGATTTTCGCGATCGGCTCGCGACCAAAACGGGGCGGGCGGTTCGCGCGTCGAATCGCGACGATCGCCGCCTGCCCTTTTTCCGTGCATAATCCGCGGCGATAACCCGAACGGTCGGACGCGTAGCGAATATGAACGATAACATGTTATCGGTGGACGGCGAATGTGCGTCCGTGTGCGTCCGCGGTAAGCCGTCGCCGTCCGCGAACTCCGGTCCCCGCGTAAAACGTCGCCGCGCAATTGTTATTACGGGACGCCGCAAGGGTCTTCGAGCGCGCGGTCTTTCGTCCGCAACCGGACGGTGTTACGCGCAAGGTCAAAGGTCAACAGTCGGCTGCGTGCGGTGCGTTCGCAGCACTCGCGCGCGGTGTTGCCGGAAAAGTGTATAGCCAAACAAAATATTATTGTCATCCGGTTGTTGTGTGCACACGCTCGCGTGTTATCGTCCGCCCGTTATCGTGTACAATGCGCTTATACAAAAGCGCGCGTATCGGGCGTAGCGCAATAACGCGCGAAACATCGTATCGTTTCCGACGGTCGACGGGGCACGCAACGTCACGCGTCCGGCGTACAATAACAAACCGCGCGCGAAACGCCGGGCCGCGTAAACGCGCGCGCGTCGTGATAACGCGACGGTATTTACAGGCGCCCGCGCGCGTGTTATTAAAACGATGACGTGACCGTGACGACAACGGCGCGCGCGGCGCTGTTGTCGCGCAACGGCCACCGAAATAACGGCCGCGCACGACCGCGCGGTCCGGCCCGTCCCGCGGACGCCGCCGGCCGGGGGACTCGGCACCAGACGCGACGTGCGCTCACCGGTCATTTTTGACGAGCGGTCGCGCGTCTGTCTGTGCGTGCGCCGCCAGGGCCATATAGGGTACATGACACGTTGGCCAGACTTCCACGGGAGAAATCGTAGATTTCCACTGACACAAAAAAAAAAACCTGTGGCGTAGCCCTTTGTGCACGCGTTATTTGTGCGGATTGCAACGCACCACCCCCGTGTCAGGAGACCCCGCGGTTTTGCGGACCAAACGGACCGTGCTAGAAATACTATTTCCGTGCAGCGGCCGGGAGTTTGAAAACCGAACATTTAAAATGCGCATTGCGCACGTTCCTTTGGCTTCGGAAGGAAAAGTGCATCGGTTTTAATTAATATTCAAATGACACCACACGTGCGATTGATGAACAAATTATTATTCTTTTCTTTCTTTACCGGTGTATAAATTAAATATAATAATAAAACTCGATATTATATTTAACGTAGTTATTTATCGTTGTTTCTTTGTCTCGCGGTCTGTATAGTAATTTAACGTTTGCGTTTATTGATTTTTATCTTTTTTTTATTGTTTTTATTATAATGCAATTAGTTGTACCATAGATATATGATATTTTGGAATAATAAACGCCGAAGAAGAATCGTTTGCATATTTAACATTTTTCCCCGTGCATATTTTACAACGTTTTCGCGCACATTCGCGTGGGTATTTTGCCATTCTTAGCTCCTGTTATAACTTCCGAGCATAAGTTTTAACTGCGTAACCGCGGTGGAATTGTTAAAAAAAAAAAAAACCAATAACATCAGCACGCGCGAGATTTTTTGTCGGACGCGGTTTTTATTTATAATGATTTCCCTAACGGGGGAACAGCGCACGTTACTATCGGTATATATCGCTGTTATTACCGATTTAATGATTTTCGATCGAATTTCATTTCGTTCTATACTGCGGCGTAAGATAGTACGGTGGGTGCGTTGTCGAATGTAAAACTCGGTTTGGATGGGGAAAAAAAAAGAATAAAAAAATGCACGGATTTATGACCCGACCTCCAGCCCCGGCCGTGCGCGTCACCGTCGTACGCGATATGACGTTTATAATATTACACAGTCGGCACAGCGTCCGGAAATGACGTTCCCCCCCCCCCCGCGGGTCGCGTCACTCCACTCGCGCGCGTCGCGTTGCGTTACGGGTTCGCGGCGTTCCGTGCGACCGGGCCGAAAACCCGCGGCCCGTCCCGTTTTATTAATACGCGATAATGTTGAACGGAAAAGCCGCGAGCGCGTTATCGTTACCGTTGCGTATAACAATCGCGAATTACGTTTTTTCGAGGCGCGGTCGGAGGTTACTATCCGACGGTGTTCACCGCGGTAGCGTGTCGGATTATTAAACGGTGGCGAAAATACGCACGGCGTCTGTTATTATTTGTCAGTACGCGCCGCCCGAGCTTTGAGCCGCCGACATGACGGACGACGTTGACGGGGGGGAAACCGAGAAAAAAAAAAATAAAATTAATACAAAACCAATGGCGGCGTACGCGTCGTGTCGTCACGCCGTACCCGTCGATTTTCTCCGCGGACCGCGGGCGCGAAACACCGGTTATTCCGCGTCCGTAGTCTCGCCGGCGGGAAACCGCGTAGACGTGCCGCACCGCAGCCGTGATATTTCGCGATCCCGATAATTTCCCCGAACGACGATTTGCGCGCGGGGCGTCGCGCCGTTGCGGACCGCAGTCATCGGGGTCAACGGTGTTTATCGAGTTCCGTCGGCCGTACACGGGATTGCGCGCGGACGCGGGTTGCGAGCGGGACGAATTTCCCGACGCCACAATAGATCCGTCGGCGAAAACGGCGAAAACGTCCCTAAACACCGGGAGCGGTTTCGCGGTCCCCGCGCGAAACGGTCGCGGGTACGGGCACCGTCCGAATCGCACGGCGTCGCGAACGCGTACGCGCGTAACGACACCGCCGTCGTACGGTTAACAAACAACGCGAAAAATCAAGACCGCGTTATCGTAAATACGCATCATTTTAGCTGGGACAGATTTTTTCCTGGGGAAAAAAAAAAAAAAATAAATCGCGACGTCGTGACACGCCCGAGCGACCGGGGCGACTCGCCGCGGCCCCGGTTTTCCGGTGTCCGAGATTATCGCACGGTCGCCGGCCTCGGTCGGCGTTTGCGGTGCGGGCGCGCGGGACGGCCCGGCGCCGTCGGACTGCCCGCGTCGTTTCGAGGGACGGTTTCGGTCTGGGTTTTCGCGCGGTAAAAGCAGAGACGGACTCGCGCGGTGACGGGAGGGGAGCGGGGGGGGGCAGGGGCGAGAAACGGACGGGCGTCCGTTCCTCGGGCGGCGCACAACAACGGCAACAGCAATAACAATAACATTGTTATGTACGGTACATTTATTGAAACGAGACGTCGCCGTCGGGCCGTTTGCGCGCGTCATTTTGTTCGCGGTACCGGTCCTCGCGATAAAATTCCATATCACTTTTACCGCCGTCGCCGTCGTTATATTATGTTCTCCCTCCCTCCCTCCCTTACCACCCCCCCACCCACCCACCCACCAACGTCC